CTACACTCCAATACAGCATTGAATTCACTACCCTATCTTGTAAAAGACAATTCATGAGCTTAAGAAATAGAACATTTTGAACCTATCTATATGGTTTTCATTAGATTTATTTCCTACGAGGCGGGTTCAATTTAGGATCTAAATAAATACATTTTGATAATATTATAAAGTACCGTTCTTTAAGGATTGATCAAAATGAATTCTTTTTGCCCTTAAAGGCACGGCAATGGGTTGAAATACAAATATAAACAAGTTAAAAAGTAATCGTAAACGATTTAAATAAAGCGCATTTCCACTTGCATTCATTTCCCATTTGTAAGATGCAACTTCTGTTAAAATCGTAAAAATCCGCCCACAAATATGAAAGATAGCGTTGCACATGGGCAATCCATTGTTGACGTGCTACTTCAATTTCAGTTTATGAGAAGAATTTCATTTCAATGCTTTTCTAAATAAGAAAGTTGGAACTGCGCATGCGCATACCTAAATTTTAAAACTAATGTTAGATTTTCCTTTGTTCCAAGCGCCTAAGTATCAAATTTCACTTAAATAGTTCCATAGATAAAAAAGTTGGCACGGCGCATGCGCAAAATAAAATTTTGAAACTGGCGCTAGATTTTCCTTTATTCCAAGTGCCTATGTATCAAATTTCATTTAAATTCTTCCATAAATAAAAAAGTTGGCACTGCGCATGCGCAAAACCAAATTTTGAAATTGGCGTTTGATTTTCCTTTATTCCAAGTGCCTATGTATCAAATTTCATTCAAATACTTTTATAAGTAAAAAAGTTTGCAATTCGGTTTATAAAATGGTCGAGATGCGAAAAGGGCACTGTGAATTTTGAATCGATTCGATTCAACTTTTGGCATTGCGTATTATATGGCTAAAGCTATGCCCATATTGAATTTCATGCAATTCAGTTCATAACTAACGGAGATGTAAAAGCGATCGAACATTTCTAAACAAAGTTATCGTTCACACGGACAGATAGATGGACAGACAGACAAAGGAACAGACGGAGAGACCAACCGGCAGGCGACAGATAGCAATGCAAAATTATAAACGATCTCTAGGATCGTTAATAAACGGCAAAAGTGTAAAATTATGGAACATGTAAAAAACGGTTTTTTGTTTTTTTTACAATAACTTTTTTTGTAAGCGGTACAGAAAAAATTCCTTCCTTGGTACAAGACTCGACACCATAACGAACCAAATAGCGAAAAAAGTAGAACAATAGCTCTTAAGATAAAAAACTAGTAGCGTCGCAAAGTTAGCGGACGGACGGACGGACGGACAAAGTGGCCACAATAGCGCATTTTTTTTTATTTTTGTGGAAATGCGCAAAAAATGAGAAGTATAGTATCAACTACCCCGTGTTTTTGAGCATTTTACTCAATCAACGATTGCTTGGATAGCGTATTTCAAAAAGGTGGATAACTCCAGTACCAAAGGAAGGAAGCTTGGATTTTTCTCGGATATTTTCAACAAATTACACCATCTACGGCATCCAATGGAGAAAGGAATTTGGCGATGAAAATTAATTGATTGAAAGCAACTAGTGAAATTTTACGCCATTTACCGTCCACATTACTAAATTTAGAATCCACGAATCAAATTCACGTTGATTTCCGGTATCTGTATTTCGCGAGTAATTTTTATTTTACTTAAAACGTCCAAGCCTTATTTCATATCCACTCGTATAGTTCGAATTCCCGCACTACATATGCTCAACTACTTGCATGAAATTTGTTCGACAAACGTGTTCCAGCTATTTCACGAAATAATGCTAATCACCCCGCGGCTATAACACAAAATACTATTACCATGCTATACTTCTGCGGACGGTCGATTTGGTTTTACTTTTTTAACCGCACAACGCGATTCTCACATGGCCTAACGCCTAATTTCTTCCGAATTTTTTTTGTGGTCGCACTTTCAGGACTTAACGCCTAACTTATTTCGGACCGCGCACCTAACGGTTCCACGCCCAAAAACGGAATACCTATACAAGGTGGTGACTTGCGTAACGCATCGTAGGGATTTCAATGTAAAATTCATACCATGCGATTATTGGCTTCCCAAATTATTTTAGAGCAAAAATGTATTAAAGTTTTTTGTAGAAAAATTTTTTTTATGTCAATCAACCGTATTAGTTTCAATTTTTTTTGCATAATAAAGACGGAAAATTGGAAAAATAAAACCCGCATCTTTTTCAATAATCTGTGATGCCATGGAATTTTATAAAACAAAAACTACACCAACATCCGTTATGCCATGGAATGTCTGCTATAAAACAAATCAAATTCTATCAAAAAGTATTATATTTAGAACAGCGAATTCAACATAAAGAAAGATCAAATTACTAAAAACGGTTTCCTAATATAACAATTTACAATAAATGTTCGAATAAGTCACCATTAACTGCAAGACAGTAACCAAGTCGATCATAAAATTCATTTCGCTGCTGCTTATATCTAACTGGATATCTTTTTGTTTTAGAAAATTCCATGGCATCGCAGATTATTGAAAAAGATATTTTTCCAATTTTCCGTCTTTATATGAAAAAAATTGAAAACTAATACGGTTGATTGGCGTAAAAAAACATTAATACATTTTTGCTCTAAAATAATTTGGGGAGCCAATGATCGCATGTTATGAATTTTGCATTGAAATTCCTATGATGCGTTACGCAAGTCACCACCCTGTATACCAACTGTATAGCTTACATAAAACCTATCCCAGTACCAATGCGTTTTTCTGCCATTAAAAAGCCAATTTTAAATCAGTAATTTCAACTAACCCAGTGCCGTCTTGTTTTTATCGATCGCTTGTTGCGTGGTATTTGTCTTCTTCCCCTAAGTGCCATTCTTTGATTGATTAATGTTAAATAAATATATCTAAATGATTAGTTGTGTTTAATCGAGCCCAAATTACGGCCTAGATAAGAGTGTTGAGACTCAATTTGGTCATTGAATTTTTACAGAATTTCAATTAAGGTACTATGGAAGTCGTGTACTCGACTGAAATTCTTTGCAATCTGTGTTACCAACCAAGAAAAATCTGTAGTTCCAATTGAGGTTTGTTGCAATTTCAATCTTGTCACTTGAAAACAAAAACTTCAAGAATAGTATGGAAAATTCGAAGTGTTCAAAGTTCTATCCCCCTTTTCCATGTGACTCCACTGTCACTCGCTGACTGTCCAATTACCAAAGTAAAGTAAGTGAGAAGTTGCCCGCCTCATTATGTCAGTTCTATAGCGTCGAATTTAATGGGTTAATTAGAAGGCTTATCACAAAATCCCGATGAAAGATGCCTCAAATTCTTATTCTAGCGTTCTGTTTTAGGGGAAAGTCGTCGTCGGTGTCCCGATACAATCTCCAGACTTTTGTTCGCTCGTCTTCGATTCCCTTTCAATTTTTGTTTCGTAATGAAATCTAACACGATTTTATTATTAGTAGAGCATTTAATTTCAGGTCAATAGATTGAACGGATCCCTTCTAAAAAAACTTTGAGGGCAGTCGTGCGCAATGAACAATGTAAAAAATGAAGATAAGTAAATAATTTAATATGATTGGCATTGCAATTGCTGTGCGCTTTCGCGATCCGTCTTCAATAATTTTTTTAAACAGCGTGTCATTGTTTACGTAATAGTAATGCTGTGAACGCACACTCACATGCACGCGACTTAATCTGAAAACTAGTTGAGAAAGGACGTCGAATTCCATTGATAACTTACCATAAACTCCTTCCCATGTGCTCGCTAGTGGAATTCGAAGCCCGTTATTCCCATGCGTTTTAACGTCCACGATATTATTAGATTACTTTGACGTTCTCTTAATTGACATGCAGACGTTATCTTCGAGTGTCGCGTGGGTTATTGACGTACAAAGTGTAAGTTGTGGCTGCTAGTAAAAGGGGTTTGTTCATTACGCATTCTATTTGAGTGATATGAGTCATAAACTTAACTCGCGCGGATTACTGCCGGTGTGAGGTAAGCCTTGATTAGTAATTGTGCTTGTATGAAATGATCGACGTTACTGCACTGACATATCCGACCGTGTACTAAAATTTCAAACACGTCATTATTAACTTAAGTGATTGTCCATGTTACAAAGGATACATAGATTTTTTAGCAAAAATTGACAATTCGGTGTTCCACAAGGGTCCACAATCAGGGTCGGTACTATTTCTAATTCTGTCCTTAATCCAGGTAAATAATAAGTAAAAACTATTAATATAAATTAAATCAATTATGTAACTGTGTAACCACAATGCATTTATAGAGGAGTTGTCCAGTTGCGAAATTTTGAGAGCTGATCTCGGGTAAATTATTTTAATTAAATTGACAATTAAAATTAACTTTCCTTTTTGTTAAAAAAAACTGCATAAGTACAATCATTAAATATTATTAAAGATTTGGTTGACTTACGTATCTTAAGTGTATATTGTAACTTTTTTTTCCTGCAATAAAACCGAGAATAAAACAATCAAAGTACGGTTTAAATTGTCTAACTTTTTATTCGGCATTAATTACCTCAAACAATTTGTATCGGAATTATGTACCTATTTAGTTAGGTTGCATTCGAGATTTCCTTCATTGTCTAAAAATAGACACCATTTGCCTTAATGTCCCCAACATTTCCTGTAGATTTCTCCAAAGTTTCCTCCGAATTTCCTCTAATTTCATCCATTTCCTACATATGTCCTCGAAATTTCCCATATGAGGAACAAGATTACTTATTTTAGGGAACAAATATTTTCATCATTACCGAAAAAGTGCCACTACTTCCCTTAATTTCTAGCCTTAAAATTTTTCAAAGTTTACACAAAATTTCTCCGAATTAACGTGAAATGAGTAACGAGACTTTCTTATAGAAACTTTATTTCCCTAAATTTTTCTTAGAATTCTCTCATTCCTTTGAAATTTCCTCATATTTCCCCAATGTTTTCTAACATTTAATTGGAGAAAATAAATTTTATACACATTAACATAGCCGGCGGAACGGTACGGTAGTCTCGATCGCCACCAGGAGTTGTTTCAAGGTCGGTGGTTTCGGAACGGTGCAGTTGCCACAGCCCACAGGTAAGCTAATCATAGAACGGTCACCCAGGTGATAACGGTTACGGCGAAACCCTAAACAAAATTACGGCACACGGAAACGGTAGCAATTTTTTTCAAGCGGGAACGGAAGCAAAATTCAGTATCGGTATCTACTGGGAAAACAACATTAAGAACAGTAAATGCCCCCCTATAATTAACCTTCGACCATTAAAACCTGGACTGCTAGCGTCGTATAATACCTATCTAATATAAAACTTGAAGCCAACATCTGCAGCGCCATCACTGGGTATGACTAAAATGAGAACTAAATCTGAGGCGCTAAATATGAAATTTGCAAGGACAAGTATATCCACACAAAATATTTATACAATAACTGTATAACTTTATACCTGATGAATTAATTTATACAGGGTGACAATTTGAAAACTTACCACCCCCCATGTCTTAGTAAATAAACGAGATATTTAAAAAAATCAAAATCAATTTAGTGTCTTTATCAATCCACTTAATCAAAATCCGTTTCGGTAATTCGGAGGGGGAATCACAATGACATAGTTGGCGACGCACCCCCTCCAACCCCCTGCGCCCCACCCACCCCAACTTTTAAATCTTAAATAGTGACTCCCCATGTGTGATACGTCGTTGGAAAGCTGTGAAAATATGCTTTCCGACCATACCAAGTAGCATTATATTTAGGTTAGTAATTATCGTGCAAATAAAAAAATAAACGAACCTCTCCAGGAGGATGTGGTGGACTACAATAATATTCATGTGGCAAACTCGATCATAACTTAACCGAGATGTTGTCTCTTTGTTGAGGATCAAATCTCGGTGGTGACACGGTGATCCAATTCAAACCCTAAAAGAAATCAAAGGTAACCCTCTTCGTTGATATCATAAATTTGCAATTTAATGAATCCAATTGCCGGAGATTAATAAAATATGGGTGATGGCAGTTAAAATTCCATGCGTTCTCAACTAACACTTCAGCTGTTGGTTTTAACGAAGTGTAACTGGATATGGGTTTCGACAGAAAGAAAGTCAAAATCGAAACGCACTGCGCGGTAAAATGTCGTTGTTAAAATTCCAACAATAGAGTTCGAAAGTTATTAGGATTTTCAACAAGTAAATGTTGGCTGTTTCGTAATGGAAAAAATAAACCGTTACAAGTTGTCGCTGCCACCTTGATACTTTAAGGGACGACGACACGACTGATTACTATGCGGTCTACACAATTCGAGACTAATCTTAGTTTGAGGTTGTCGCGAGCTGTTACTACCAGACCCATACCAATTATTATAATATCGCCGACATTTTGCAATTCCCATAACCAAAATATGTCAAAATTGTAACGCCAAATTTCAACACGGAAAAAACCGCAAGACTAGCGTTGCTAGAACTAGGTAAATATTTATTTTCCTGTATCAAGTCATTGGTGTTGACGGAGAGTCATCAAATATGGGCCAATTTTGTTGGGAAAACGCCAAGCGTTATGCGTGGTACAACGAGGTGTCCACAATTATAAAGTACACATGGAACCGAAGTTGTTTCTAGCGTAACCCTCAAATTGAACTAATTATTGTGGTTTAGTAAGGACTAACGACACGAAAATGACAATAATCTCGTTTTTGGTGTATAACGTTTTCATGACACGTTCGACTTCTAATGGGAATGTGTAAGTGTGACAGAAATTATATGTAACTTTTCGGATTTGTACTAGTACAGTTCAAGGTCTGCGTAATTACACTGCATTCACAGTGCATCAGTTTGATACTTTACCTACTCACCTCGTGAGCATACCGTTTGTTAATACAAAACGAGTAACAATTTTCGTTCCGTCTGAGTATGCGACGCGAAAGTAGGTAAATTTAGATAACGCAAAAGGTAAAATCGCGCCGAAAATATTCCATTTATGCATCTAGTCTAATAATATGGAAACAGTACATAACTGTTAAAAATAACTTCAAATTTTAGAAGGTATGTTAACCTTAATCCTCTTATTTTGCTCATGCGACGCTGGCGAAAAACGCGTAGAGTAGGTAGTTGAAAACAACGCCATACCAGTTGCCAATACTGAAACTGTAGAAATTGTTATATAAGTTGTATATATTAAATCATTTTTATGTCGAAAGAACAATACGTTGCGGCAATTATCCTTGTAATTAATACTCATTAAGCTATCCTGTGTTTCATTTTCACCTGTACAAAGAAAGGTTCGCTTACAATGTAAGAAGTACCTACTTATTCTTTTTTTTAGGTTTGCAATTATTAAGTTTAATTTTTTTTTCTGTTCTTCCAGAGGTGTGCAGTGGAGAAACAATACCTGAGGTAGAAATAATTAGTCTACTGGAGGAACAAATTCCTAAGTATCGTCTTAGAGCTGATACACTCACTAAATTTGGCGGTAATTTTTTTTAAATATTTTTCTAATAACGTATTTTTTAAGAAAGCAATTTTTAACGCTCTGCTACTGGTTAATAATGTTGCAATTCGCTAGACTAGATACCATCTCATTGCTGACATTCGCGGTATCTGCTTGTTCATAATTGTAGAAAACTTTACTTCAAGGTGGTGGCATAATTGTTAAAAAATTTCAAGCTTAATTAATATTTTATTTGTTTTGGGCCCCATATTGAGAAAAATCTATTCCTTGTAACAACTTACCCAATTACTTTAACGATAGTTCAATTAGTTCCAGTTTAAATTACCGTTTTTTGCTTTCTATTTATTTTCTTGTCAAAAATAGATAGGTACAGCGTGTTTCCCCATTGACTTTACTATATGTGTAATTGATAAAAAATGTTTGAATCTCGTTTTGATGCTTTGGGATCCCGGCGTGCTTGGTCTGAAAATAATTTCAAGCACATTAAATCCAAGATGGCCGTGACAATTGAGAAAAAACGCAATTAAACTAAAACGTTCATAAATACATCTAGTCTTTGTGCACCAGGAGTTCTAGATGCGCTTTCGTGACCGCTTCCGTTCCGCCCCCTGGACTTGGATATGATTCGGAACGCACGGACCGACTACAGACTTCTGGGGCGGTGGCTTCTTGATAAGGTGCTCCACTGTCAAAATGTTCAATTTTTTTTCTTAATTGTAACGACCATCTTAGATTTTAAAATGTATAAAATTTGCTTGAAATTCTTTTCAGACCAAGCAGGCCGGGATTCCAAAACATCACTGTACCTATGACTCGATTTGTTCAAATCAAGTAGGTACTCTTTCAAGGATCGGAAATATTTCTTTTGCGAACCACGTTCTAAATTTGTGTTATTTTTTTTAAAGAACAACGGTTTAAGAAAATGTGTAGGTGACATCAGAGCAAGGACATGAAAACCTATAAATCGCATTGTAATTTGGGTTTATAGGATATTTTAGGACCTTTAAGGACTTTTTTAAAAAACCCAATCTTGTGTATTTATCAAGTGCATTGAATAAATTCTATTTGTCTATTCCTTTTAGTATACAATTTCCAAGATGGCGCCGCTTCCGTAAATACGTGAAGTTGACGCCATCTTGGTTTTTAAAATAGAAACATAACCATTTTCTAAATGCGCCATGTTATTCTGAATTGAACGCATTTAAGATTTGCGTCCGGGTCTGTCTTAGTTTTTGACATGTTAATTTTTCTCTCAAAAAATGTCAATAACTCGAAACTACTGCATATAGACACACAGAATGTTTAATCTGACCTTAAAAAATTGACATATCTCAAGCGGCGCCATCTTAAAATTATTATATTTCATTTCGGAATGGTTGAGTTGAGTATGGCTGTGAGCCAAATTTCAAGTTTCTACATATTTCAACTGCAAGTTTAAAAACGTCTAACGAACGAGCTACATGTATCTCCCTGTATAACATTGTCATCTGAAAACCGAAATTCGGTAATTTATTTTTTTTATTTGCAATAAATTTGAAATCAATATTATTTTTGGATAGAGAATGAAGGGACCTTTCAAACGATATATCACAAGGCCATTAAAAAATGGGGGTTGTAACTGACACTTGAAGGGGGTTGAAGGAAGGGATCACACGAGGGATCACATTATTACATTGAAAATATGAATCTTTATAATTTAAGCTTCACGTGTTTTGGGATTTTCTATAATTATGTACGGCAGGCATGTCAAACTCATTTATCGCCAAGGGCCATTAAGGGTCCCACATACAGCTGCGGGCCACATAATTAAAAAGTTCACATTAATTTTGATTTTTTATTATTAACATAAAAAGTAGGTATGCAAAATAATACAATAAAACGAAAAAATACCAATAATCATCAAATCATGAAAGTATACCCTGTGTCCTATTTTTTTGAGACTGCAGTCGTATATCTCAGCTGTTTTTAAAGCTAAGAGACGTGCGGTTTTCGGGACTCTGTGTCATTTTTTTGTTAAACTTGTCTACTTAAACAAACAGAACAAACAGAATCAATCCAACTAAATGCGTTTGTTTCTTATTAGATACATGTTGACTTTTTGGGATGTTATCAATCATATCTTACTACCGATGTATGATAGAAAAATAGGTAAAAACTACCTATATTAGATATATTTTCGTAAAATCCAGTAGTGTAGTAAAAAAATTTGAATCACCGTTTCTGAGATTGAACCCAAACTTGATATTTTTTAAATCTAACACCCTGTATTTTAACGTCAATAAATAAAAATAAATAAATAAATGAAAATAAATCATATTTTTCAAAATGACATGTTTCTACCGCCATTACCATGGATCCAATAAACAGAACAAAATCTCCATGACTCCATTGCTTACTATTTAAAAAAGTAAAAAATAAGGTTTCTATTAATTTTAATCGATAAGATTTAAAAAAATATATAGGTTGTGACACATAATAGTCATAATAATAATAAATGCCTCTATTCAATACATCAATGTAATCAGGAAAAGGCATAAAAAGCAATTGACGTTAAGATATACAGGGCGTTTTAAAAAATACCAACTTTAGATCAAATCTCAGAAACAGGGATCCAAAACTTTTTTTACTACGCCGCTGGATTCTACGTAACAATATCTAAAATAGCCAGTTTTTATCTTTTTTATATCTTAATCGGTAGTAAGGTCTGATAACATTCCAAAAGTCAAGCTTTTCGTTTTCACCCAGTATCTCAGAAAAAAACGTAGCTAGATTGGTTCTGTTTGGGGTATTATACGTTTCACCAAAAAGTGGCAGAGGGTAGCGAAAACCTTAAGTCTCTACCTTTAAAAACACTGCAGTTTTAACCAAAATAGGACACACGGTACAATTAACTTTTATAATTTGCAAACATCGTTATGGGCCGCAGGTTTCAAAACGGCGATGCGGCCCGCGTGGTTGACATGCCTGGTGTACAGTAACCGAAATAATGAATTTATTCCATTTGAATTATCCACCCTGTATATAAGTTCTGGTGTGGTACTTTCTTTGCAGATCCCACGCTGGTAATCATCCTGTATATAAACTGTAAACGTATGTCATTTAGATTGTGAAGTTCGTTAATTTATTTTACTCTGACTATCCCAAATAATTTTGAATAAAGGACCTGTCTTAATGCTGAATTTCCATGACTTGGTTGATGCGGCAATTTCTACGATGCAATGAAGAAGTGTCTGACACCTGACTACTAACGCGCTTGATGCTTTCTTATTTTTGGAGATATCACTAGATTCACAAGCCACCCGCTGATAAAAAGTATTACATTGAATCTTTAATTTTTATTTTCCCTGATGGCCTTTAATCCGCACTAACTTTTGGTTCCCAAAATATCTCTCTTCATATGTCTGATGCCTGTGACTTGACCGCTATCGTCTCTTTGTGTATACCCAACGAACACTATTTTCTAGTAACCAACGAAATTGTACCTTAGTTATTACAAAATGTTGAAATTTTAATATAGACGGTACGGAACAAAATTTAAAGAAAAACCTGCACTATGGCGCCGTCTAAATTTTTCTTGGTTCACTCAAGAAGCTTATGCTAGTGTTCACAGGAATGATATATTTTGGGACGCAAGTCCCAAAATTTTCGATTCTTCTTTAAAATATGGCACTAAGTATCAAACAATAGCAGTGAAAAGATGTCTTTCGACACTGTCGTGTGAATTTGCAGCTTTGACCCCACCAACTAAAGCACATGGCTGAGATCGACATTTTCCCTTTGTAAGTACACTTTTTGTACACTTTTTTTTATATACCGGGTGGTGCCTAGAGCGACGCAGCATAGGGATTTCAATGGTAATTTCTTTATAGCCAATTACTAGCTCCCCTAATTATTTTAGAGCAAAAGTCTAAATAAATTTTTTTTAGAGAAAAAAATACTGCATCTGTTCATACGATTACCTATAATCCGTTTTTCAAAACCGTAGAAATCTACAAAATAAAAAATTACATTTTTATAAATCAGTGATGCTTTGGAATCTTTTAACAAACTACAAGCGCATCGCATCTAAGTTATCGTTGTTTGACGTCCAACGATTTTCATATTTAATCCTGTTTCAACTATCCGACGCAAGAAAAAGCGTCTATGGGGTAATGTTTTTTTGGAGAATGTAATGCTGCATCTGCATCAGATACCATTTGTGTATCATTTTCCGGAACCAGTAGAGTACATAATCGAAGAAAAAGAAATTGATTTGAGGAAGAATTGTTCTTAAACGTATATTCGGTTTTTCCGCTACTGCAGCCAAAACAATGAATATATTGTTGTTTTCCGGATGCAGTGATTTAACACTGTTCCTGTTCTTAGAAACTTGGGCACAATTCTGTCTACTGTGGTACTGCTTGGAATCGGTCGATTGGGGTACTTCACAGTAAATAAAGACGTTATTACCTTAGTGTATTCTATTCTTACACTATGTTATTACTTGGCGGGCATAAAACAACTTTAACTTTAACTTTCCTCTTTTTCTTCAGTTAAATTGATAAACAATTTTATGATTAACTAATTTATAAAGTACAAATTTAATATACGTCAAAGGCAAATAATGAAAAGTTATCACTGTTTTTTTAGTTAATTCCAAGCCATATCTTCAGATTTATTGTAAAATGAACCTTTTTATTTTGTCGATTTCTACGGTTTTGAAAAAGGAAAATTATGAGTAATAGTATGAACAGATGCAGTATTTTTTTCTCTGAAAAAACCTAGTTAGATTTTTGCTCTAAAATAATTAGGAGAGCTAGTAATTGACTATAAAGAAATTACCATTGAAATCTCTATGCTGCGTCGCGCTAGACACCACCCTGTATATGAAAGATTATAATCAATCCCCTTTTGCGGGACGTACAGGGGGGAGATGCTGGAAGGCGTGTGCTCCCCCCCCCCCCCCCCCCGACTTCTATCATACTCCGTCCGATTTTATTGGGGTATTGTTGTTGTATGTAATACCGTATTACATACGTTGCGGACTAAAAACAGTAAAATTGCGCTCTTGCATTTTTGTCTTTTTTTTTAAATTTTGACCTTGACACTTGACCTCTGGTCCTCAAGTAGTGACTCGGCATATTTTATAAACAAACGCATCATTTTACGTTAAAGGGTTCGGCTTAAAATGAAAGTACGGGCGGACAGACTTCCGACAACGCGTTTTATCGTTTCAAGAACATTTTATCAACTTGTTATCAAAAGTGCGCGGAAATCGTTTCTTTGGCATAGATAATGTGTTTCCAACTGTTGCATTTGTCTCAATGATCTTATCGTTTTCCTCGTGTTGAAATTTCCTTGAAGTTGTTTTAAAATTGATTGTTTCATTTAACGCCACCAAAATAAACATTTTTTCACAGCAACCATGACACTTAGAATGGTTGAACTATCGGCCCCACATTTTGTAACCATGCCAACGCTTGTGAATGCGAAAATCTGCCATGGATCCCGATTGTTACTGAGCATAAACAAGAAGTTACTCAAACGGAGGTACATTCTGGTATGAACAGTGGCGCACCCAGAAAAAAATTCGGTGGGGGTTATTGAAATTAGTAAATCCAAAATGTTAACATAAATTATGTTTTTAATAAACAAAAGATTACACAGTTACATGGTTGCTATGGATTAAACATGCAAATTATAGTGCGCGAATTGATCACTTTGCGCACGCGATTTGCGTACGGGAATGATTAATTCATAAACGATTGTAGGAAAAGATTATTTTTAAAAAATGTATCAGTGCTTAATTTCGGGGGGGGGGGTTAACCCCAAAACCCCCCCCTATGGGTGCGCCACTGGGTATGAAACGGTTAATTTGTGAGAGCAGATCAGGACCAAACTACATTCATTTTTTTTTTATTTAGAAAAAGCCGTTAATGGCCCATATGAATAAAATGCTTATACTTGCAAAATTCAAAGTAAGTACTCGTAAGTGATCCTTCATCCTGGGCGATTTAGCAGCGCTGCTGAGCAGCGGTACGGGACGCAGTGCAGCGCTTCTGAGCAGTCCAGTGTGAAGGGGACTTACGAGTATTTACTTTGAATTTTGCAACTTTGCACCTTTAATCATATGGGCCAATGTTCCTTGTACTTAAATCAAGCACCATCTGTATTAAATGAAAAAATGGAAATAATGTCAACCAACTATTTCTTCTTTACTGTACACCATTTTTGCCTGCGGTACTTCAGAACTGTGTGTCAATGGGGATTTTACTGCTATTCAGAATTCAGATGTGGTGGAGGTGAATGAGCAGAGGGAGACAAAAATCATTGTCAAGTATGTCTCTTTCAGTAGTCAAACATTGCATGAAAACCACATCATGATATCATATTCAGTTCTGCTGTTAATGAGCCTAATGAGGGTGGGTTGTTTCCGTTAGAAAAAAGAAAATAATCATAACAAAAAAGAATCGTTTTTATACAGGGTGTCCCATTAGTGCGATATCCGGGTGATATCTTTTGGCAGGGTGATACTCCAAAAAATACAACATTGGTTTACTGGTTTAAAGTGCATAACGCAAAAATATTTTTTTATGTACAGGATGCTCCATAAATTTGGAAATCAAAAGATTTTTAGAAAAATCATTATTGTAACACTTCTTAAACCATTCCCAAGTTTATTGTAGTAATTCTAAACTCTAAATAAACTTTTGACTGTTCCTTTGTTAATCGATGCGATTTAAGTTGCCCAAATTCTCTAATGCTTCGAACCATTTAAAAGAATCTCTCTGTATGTATTCATAGTTTCCCAAATGATCTAAATCCTTCTAGATGCTTAGAAAAAACCAAAATCTCCACAGCATGAGCAATAAATTGTTTGATTGTGTAGCAGGTTTCTTGAATGATTTTATAGTTGTTTAACTGCCAAATCGTCTTATTATTCCAATTCTGTTGTTGCAGGTTACGAAAATCAAGATTGGTTTATTCCCAGTCCCGCACTACAAGTTGAGGAGGCCGATCTGAAATTGTCCCCGGACCAAATCCGGGAAACTCTTAACTACTTTCGTAAGTATCTTGCATCTGCGTTTCAAAAATAAAGCAGAGCACATTGTGTATATTATATACAATAAAATGTATTTTATAGTAAACAAAGGTGAATTTACGGTGCAATAATAGTAAAATCATTGTAGGTTATTAGGTTAAACTTGGATGGGTAGCTTAATTGCGACTGTTACATTAGAATAGGTAAAGGAAAGATTGCGTAAAAAATAACAATTTCCTCTTCAGCTGTAGATGAAGAGAAACTGTGGGTGATTTTTATGCAGTTTGAAGTCTACTTAAGCAGTGTCTGGCGATGAGTTTTGATGAAGATAAAGTATAATTACTTAGTTGGATGAGTGTGTTGATTTACTTGTCAGTTCTACATTTGTTATCTTATCACTTTATACTCGAATTAGCGTAATTAAGGAATTGGTTCTATTTCTCACTCTTTTTCTCACATTCTCTCGCCCTATCATTATAGTATGGGAGGTAACCCGCAATTTTCTGTTGCAGTTCTATGTAGTAATCGGGTGAGCCAAATGACCAAGACCTACGATGACATAGAAGCGGTAACTAGGCTTCTGGAAGAGGTTAGTACACGAGTATGTTTTATCAAAATTAACCTTAGCTATAAATAGTGTTGTGTTAATTGCGGAAAGCTAATAAATGTGATAACTGTGCAGCTTAGTGGTACATTTCCATTTCAGAAAGAGAAAGATTTAGAACTGACTGCTAGAATCGGCAAAGAACTACTTCAGCAGAATAACAAGTTTGAAACGACAATTTCGTCTTTGGAATCTGAACTGAAGAGCGCCAATGAGAAGATCACTCAACTCACGCACGAGTCTGCGAAGAAAACAGAACTCATTCAAATTCTTACGAACGATATGGACGAATCATGTCTCGAGAGCGGCATCACTAACGGACGTATCAACTTCGAATTGATGCAGAAGAAGATCGGTTCTTTGGAGGAGGAGAATGTAGCCCTCAAATCTGAGTACTGTCGATTGGCTGAGCAAACTGACGATGTGGAGGCGAAGGAGCAAATGCTCTTAAGCGACATCACTGGCCAGCTCGGTATGTTGACCACCTTTGTTAAGTTACGCTAACGACGGGTTTATAGCTTGTGCGAATTCAAGTATGGGACTATTGGAAGATGAAGTCGATCGACAAAAGGAGGAAAATCGTTTACAGCATGAACAAATTTTGGCTTTATCTGCAAAGTTGAGAGATACTGAAATGAGGCTGCATAAGGTATGTCAATAAACTACTAGTAGGTGTGAAAGCGTCCCGGGAGTTACAGTGCTTGCAAAAGCGTGGTCACTCTGTGATAATTGTAGATTAGATCATATCACATATTATACAAGGAGAGTTAGTGACCCTTTTGGGGTGCTGCGGCAGACAATTTTACAAGGGGTTTGGAATGGTTCAATTTTCACACGCGATACCTCTTTTGAACACATCTATTAAAACTCTTTTTTCATAATTATACAGGTACTTTCCACTCCCTAATAAATCTGCATCTTAGAACAACCAAATTTAACATGACCACCCTTTGGTTTTGTTTTGGGTTTAGTTTTGGTTTCCATCACTTTAAATGAAATGAGATTACAGGTCAATATTCCAGTTGCTGCTGTTCAAAATGTGTTCCTTTGTTTGGACCAGAGATGCAAGGGCTCAGGCTACTCACTATCAACTTCCATGTTACAAGAATCTCCCACGCAGTTTGTGCAAAAGTTAATAGTGTGTTCCCTACAAATGTGTTTGAGACACTCCCTGGTCCTGAACTCGGCGGGATAGGTATGGTTGACTGTTTTGGACTATGAATGATTCATTTATGCAATTCCACAAACCTTTCGGAATGTTTAGCATTGCTGTGGTGTTATTTTCTATTCGCAGTTGCGAGAACCGCCATGTTTTGACTAAGTACACAGGATTGGTTGAAACCAAGGTAATGAATTTATCTTGTTGGACACAATAGCGAAATCTAGTAATTTGGTTAAACCAATCCGCTCAATGATAAATTGGAAAAATCATTGCCGACACAGAGCATTATGGACACTGTCTATATACAGTCACTGTAACTGGTTCTACAGTCTTACACAAGACAGTGGCGACAATAGAGTGTCTAATTTTTGATTGGTTGTTTCGATTGAGAGTCATGTTGCATCGAGTTTCTGGTACTTTTATATGGTTATTGTGTATTATGTGTATTGTGTGTTGCTTACACTACACTACAATGAATTTTGGATGCAACTTTGCGGCTGGGCGAAGCTTCTAGCCCTTATTGTCGTCACTGCCTCGTATAAAGTCACGGGTTCTACAGTGACTATACTATAAACATTGACGACAATTGATGTATCGATTTTTATTGGCCTGACTAAAGGTCCATTTCCCCAGCCCCGTCCATTGCTTCCATTTTTGAAAAAAAAATTGGTTTCGATTGTGCTGCAATTATTTTCGTTTGTACTACTCGCTTTCCCGGAGAAACGATGGGCGGAGCCAAGGAAATGCTACCCCCACTCAACCTTACTATTGTAAAACAAACTACTGGAATCGTTTGTGCTGCAATTATTTTCGTTTGTGCTACTCGCTTTCCCGGAGAACGGTGGGCTGGGCCAAGGAAATGGGACCCCGCTCAATCGTACTATTGTCAAAAAAACTACTGGAATCTTTTGGGCTTCATTTGAGCTCGTTTGTGCTGCAATTATTTTTGTTTGTGCTACTCGCTTTCCCAGAGAAACGGTGGGCGGAGTCAAGAAAATGCAACCTCCGCCAAATCTCACTATTGCAAAACAAACTACTGGAATCGTTTGTGTTGCAATTGCTTTTGTTTGTGCTAGTCTCCGTCTCAGACAAGTGGTGGGCGGGGTCAAGGAAATGTGAACCCGCCTGATTTGACTATTTTCAGAAAAACTATTGGAATCGTTTGTATTTTTTTTTGTTGTGGTTATTTTCGTTTATGCAACTTTCTCGCCCAAACAGTGGTGGTGCATTTTTCTCAATTATAAATTATAATACGGAATATTAGTAGTAGAGGAGCCACCTGAGCCAAACAGTCACATGACATGCCAGATTTGCGTGAAAGTGAGGCTCGCGGGTACGAGTATGAGACATGTCCGGGGTACGAGATAGGCAAGAATGCGAAAATATATGTCAACGGCAACAGGCCTGTTTGTCAGAAAAAAGGGCTGTTAAACTAACCCGATTGTTTTTTTGATAATAATAAGATTGGGCGGGGCGGGGCGCATTTCTTTGGCCCCGCCCACAAATTCTTTGGGAAGACGATAGAACAATCGAAAGTAGTTAACAGCACAAACGATTCCAGTAGTTTTTTTGACA